GCTGTTATGAATAAAAGCGGCTAGAAACTTTCACATTCCCATTTTTTTTTCTACTTTATTTTAGGTTCTGGGGGTACATGGTGGGGCTTGTTACATGGGTAAATGGCGTGTCACTGAGGCTTGGTATATGAACGATCCCATTACCAAGGTGGTGAGCACAGAGCCCAATAGGTAGCCTTCCAACCAACACCCCCACCCACACTCCCCACTCAAGTAGTCCCTAGTATCTATTGTTCCCATCTTTGTGTCCAACTGTTTTCAATGTTTAGCTCCCACTTATAATTAAGAACATGTGGTATTTGGTTTTCTGTTCCTGTGTTAGTTCTCTTCTGATAACAGCCTCCAGCTGCATCCAGTGGCTGCAAAGGACAAAGTTTCATTATTTTTTTATGGCTGTGTAATATTCCATGTTATATATGTACCACATTTTCTTTATCCAGTCTACCACTGATGGGCATTTTGATTGATTCCATGTCTTTGCTATTTTGAATAGCTCTGTGATGAACATACAAGTACATGTGTCTTTTTGGTAAAAAGCTTTATTTTCCTTTGGGTATATACCCAATAGTGGGATTCCTGGGTTGAATGATAGTTTTAAATTATTTGAGAAATCTCCAAACTGTTTTCCACAGTGGGCTGAACTAACTTACATCCCCACCAACAGTATATAAGTGTTCCCTTTTTTTCTGTAACCTTGCCAGCATCTTTTTTTTTTTTTTACTTTTTATAATAACCATTTGACTAGTATGAGATAGTATCTCATTGTGGTTTTGATTTGCATTTCTGTAATGATTAGTGATGATGAGCATTTTTTCATGTATTTGTTGGACACATGTATGTCTTCTTTTGAGAAGTGTCTTTTCACACGGAGGAATGCGTATAGATATAATTCTAAAAGAAGGATCTGTGTATTCTTTTTTTTTTTTTTTTTTGAGACAGAGTCTCACTCTGTTGGCCAGGCTGGAGTGCAATGGCACAATCTCGGTTCACTACAACCTTTGCCCTGCCAGGCTCAAGCAATTCTCCTGCCTTAGCCTCCCGAGTAGCTGGGATTCCAGGTATGTGCCACCATGCCCGGCTAATTTTTGTATTTTTAGTAGAGACGGGGTTTCTCTACTAAACCCCGTCTAGTAGAGGCTGTCTTGACTAGACGGGGTTTAGTTGGCCAGACTGGTCTCGAACTCTTGACCTCAGGTAATCTGCCCGCCTTTGGCCTCCCAAAGTGCTGGGATTACAGGGTTGAGCTACTGCGCCCGGCCAGATCTGTCCTTTCTTTCTAATAACGTGATTTAATTATAACTGGAGAAATGAGAGCATAGTCAATGGGTTAATCTTTGCTAGGTTAGGAAACAAAATCAACCTTTTATGGCAAAATTTATAATCTTAGGTGAACAAATACATTTCATACCAAGAATGTTTAAACAAATTTAGTTTCCTATAACAAACATTCATAGATTCATGCTTAACAGTGATTTTCCTTAGATTTATGAAACCAAATTTTTCAACGTAGAAAAGATTTTGACTGACAGACTTTCACAGAAACTCAACTTCATGATGACATGTTACAAAATAAATATAGGTTCTACTTAAGTACTTGGGGCTTTTATGTAATTATTTGCTAATTTTCCTTGTGTTTCTTTATAAAGGATAATGCTGAATTCAGTGTTTGCATGCTCAAAAGCAATGTGCCAAATATTTTCTTAAATCTGAAAATATCTCATTATAGTTTTCTTATCAATCATTAGTTGGAACTTGTGGAATCTTGTTTCAACTCTTTCAATCAAGGCTGAGTTACTGATATTTGTGAGTAGCACTAGTACAGGGCACATTTCATTTTATGAAGTGCTCTTATGCCATTTTTAAACCTTTTATTACAGAAAATTTAAAATATATACAGGTGTGATCAAAGCAGTGTAATGAACTCCCATGTACTCAACACCCAATTTCAATGATTATTAATTCAGGGCAACTTTTGTTTCACCTAAACGAGAGTATATCAACAGCAGCACTATTGACTCATTGAATGAGATAATTCTTTGTTTGGGGGGACTGTCCTGTGCATTGTAGGGGGTTTCACAGCATCCCTGGCTTCTACCCACTTAGATGTAAGTAGCACTCCTTTCCCAGCCAGGGTGTGACAATGGGAAATGTTCCCAGACCTTGTCGACTATCCTCTGGGAGCAAAATTGCCCCCAGTAGAGATCAGTAGAGAACCACTGATCCATAACTCATTCACACCAAAGACACAGAGAAGTGCTATTTCAGTTTCCTGACACTTGTGGTCTCTATTCCGTGGGCCACTATTCTGAATAGTGCCACTTTATGTAAGGCCACATGACCAAGTTCTTGATAAGCAGGGGCGGTCATTCATGGACTTCTGAACAGCCCCATGCAGAGTAAGTGCAAACATAGGCTGAATTGAATTTGTTCACAATTCCTACTGGTTTCTGCACTTGTTTCCTACAAGGAAGTTTGAGATTTTCCTACAAGTGTGAGTTGTTTTCTGCAAGTTGTTTCCTACAAGGAATTTCAGGTCCTGCTTCCCATGAGGTGGTCGGCCTGATTAGGAAAGGGAAAGGGTGCGGCTCTCTGTGGACCGAACTTCTCTCACCTGATCACACGCCTCCTCCCCCTGGTGTCTTTTAAGCAGTGTGAACTCAGGGCTGAGTTGCCAGGCTCTAAGTTCTCTGTGGAACATCTTGGGGGGCAAGTCTACTTTGCTCTTCTTGTAAATTAGGTGTAATTGAAACCCCAGTGGCATAGCATTTCTCAACATTTCCAAGCCTGAGGGTTCAGGGGAGCAGATCCTCTCTGTTTTGGGACTCCAGTGAGGCAGGAGCTCTGGCTGGTAGTGTGACCATTTGTAATGCTACTTGATTGGCTAATGGGGAAACCTGTGTGAGCCTAGGGCTGTTCTCAGGGTGTTATTTACCTCTCCGTGGTTAGAACAGAACAGGGAACTGGTGAGAACGGCGAAGCCACAGAAACACTGGGGTGAGTTTTGCTTTGTGACCATGGGCTTCTTTTGTAGTAATGATTGATTCCGCCTTGAAAGTAAAGAGAATGGTTCCAGGAAGTGTACAGCACATGACAAAGGGCTTTCACGTCTGTCTGGTCTTTGAGGCAAACACAAGTGCTAGGCTCTGGGATTCAGAGATGGAGAAGGTGTGGTGTTAGTCTCTGGGGAACTTTCTTCCTCAATATTTACTGAACACCAACTTACCAAACACTGTGCTGAGAAGGCTGGGAAGATACATAGCCAGTATTATTCATCCTATCTACATTCATTGAATGCTATTGCATGGCTGGCACTGCAGTAAGCGTCAGAGGTGGGGTGGTGGGCAATGATCATCTCTGCCCTAAGGAAACCCATACTCCAGTGGGCAGATGGCCACACAAAAACAATGATAATTCAGTGTGGTAAGTGCTGGGATCCCAAAATGTCCTAAGAGAAGAGGGGTCGATGGCAGAGGCGGCCTGCAAACTGGGGAGATGGCTTGGAGAGGAATCCAGGGCAGGACATAAGACTGGCCCTTAACTTATCCTGGGATGGAACTGGGAGTGGGATTTATGGCACCTATCTGTGATGCAGGCATTATCTGCATGTTACAGTTTGGACCTTGAGTCTCTGAGAGGTTAAAGAACTTTCTAGATCTTATACAAACACTCCCTGAAAAATATGACTGTAAATCCAGGAGTCCAGATTGTTAGTCCTCTCTTCCGTGAGCAGCTTCTTGGTAAAGTTGCCCAGCTGATCTGAGAGTGTGGGGCTGGCGTCTGTCCTTCCTTTGTTTCTGTAACTATATGTTCTATCAGTGATTTCCTTCTGGTTCATGGTGGTCTTTAATCACCTGAGATTGTCCCAATCATGGAAGCAAGGAAGCTTTGTGGTGTGAGTGGAAATGATCTGGCTCCCAGGCTCAGGTGGCCTGGAGTGTTACTGTAGGAGAGGCTATGTGGATATACAAAACCTCAGCCACCTTGGACAGTGTTCAGCGTGGACTGGGACAGCCTGCCAATCAGTCAGTGAGCAGTCTCAGTGATGCCCTGAGGTGTTGAAAGCCTGGGCTATGGAGAAGGATGTGTCAGAGCATGAGGGGGCACTGGGATGTGTGTGTGTGTGTGTGTGTGTGTGTGTGTGTGTTTGTGTGTAGGGGGGTATTGGACCTTTGTTGCTACTGGAGGATGTGATTGGAGAAAGTGAAAGCGCCACTAAAGAGGAGAACTGTACATGGATTGAGTTGAGCTGGGCCCTTGGAAGGGGACAAGCTCACCAAGTGACCAAGTGTAGAATGTGAGAATTAGAGGGAGAAGCAGAAATAAGAGATGTTGATTGTCAAAGGAGGTCCACCAGGGAGATCTCTTCTAAAGACTCTGAATAGTATGTGGAGAGGTTGAGGACACTGTTCTGCAAACCAAAGATAGAAAAGAAGGCCAGGAGCAGTGGCTCATGCCTGTAATCCCACACTTTGGGAGGCTGAAGTGGGTGCACTGCTTCAGCTCAGGAGCTTGAGACCAGCCTGGGCAACATGGTGAAACCTTGTCTCTAAAAAAAATATAAAAATTAGCAAAGCATGGTGGCACATGCCTGTAGTCCTATTACTCAGGAGGCTGAGGTGGGAGGATTGCTTGAGCTGGGGGAAGGCTGCAGTGAGCCGAGATTACACCACTGCACTCCAGCCTGGGTGACAAAGTGAGTCCCTGTCTCAAAAAAAAAAAAAGAAGGAAGTGGCATGAAGGAAAACCGTAACCAGAAGATAATTTGAAACACTCAAAGGTAATAGAAAGACATCTAACATGGAGACAGTAACACTATCCTGGCTGTTCCACATTGTCCAATGACAGGACTTACTAACTTCCTAATAGAGCTCCTCCTCTAATCTATTTCCACTGGACAGCCCTTTCCATACTTTTGTTCTGTATACTACAGACTTTGTCTGATCCTGCAGACAATGGGGAATCATCAAGTATGTTCATCAACTAAAAGGAAAAACACTTTGGGACTGTTAGGGTCCCCAAAGGCCCTAACAGTCCTTCACAAATTGGTACTAATGTCTATCTACAGCTTTAGTTTTTGCTCTTCTCTCCTTTATTCCAGCTACACACAAGGCATTTGTAATTGCTCTCTGCCTTCTTGGAATGCTCTTCCCTTCTACACATAACTAACTCCTACTTCTTTCAATTTCCAGCTCACAGGCATCTCAGCTATGCAAGAGCCTTCATGTAATTCACCCACTCAGTGAAGAAGTCTTTTGTATCATTTCAGATCACACCACCCAAATTGCTGCCTCTTGGTGACAACCTCATGACTAACATACACAATGTGACTGAATTCATTTTTCTGGGACTTTCTCCCAACCAGGAGGTGCAGAGGGTTTGCTTTTTGATATTTCTGTTCTTGTACACAGCAATTGTGCTGGGGAATTTCCTCATTGTGCTCACTGTCACAACCAGCAGAAGCCTTGGTTCCCCCATGTACTTCTTCCTCAGCTGCCTCTCCTTCGTGGAGATCTGCTACTCTTCCACTACAGCCCCCAAGCTCATCTCGGATCTGCTGGCTGAAAGGAAAGCCATGTCTTGGTGGGGCTGCATGGCACAGCTTTTCTTCTTGCACTTCTTTGGTGGCACTGAGATTTTCCTGCTCACTGTGATGGCCTATGACCGCTATGTGGCCATCTGCAAGCCCCTCAGCTACGCCACCGTCATGAACCGGCAGGTGTGTGCTGTCCTTGTAGGAACAGCATGGGTGGGAGGCTTTGTGCATTCATTTGCCCAAATCCTTCTCGTCTTCCACTTGCCCTTCTGTGGCCCCAATGTGATCAACCACTATTTCTGTGACCTGCTTCCCCTTCTCAAACTTGCCTGCTTTGACACCTTCCTCATTGGTCTGCTGATTGTTGCCAATGGAGGCACCCTGTCTGTGGTCAGTTTTGGGGTCCTCTTAGCATCCTATATGGTCATCTTGCTCCATCTGAGAACCCAGAGCTCTGAGGGGCGGCGCAAAGCCCTCTCCACCTGTGGGTCCCATGTTACCGTGGTTATCTTGTTCTTTGGACCCTGCATCTTCATCTACCTGAGGCCTTCTACCACTCTGCCTATAGACAAGGTGGTGGCTGTGTTCTACACAGTGATAACCCCCTTCCTGAACCCTGTCATCTACTCCCTGAGAAATGCTGAAATGAAGAAGGCCATGAAGAGGCTGTGGATTAGGACACTGAGACTAAATGAGAAATAGAGGCTGAGTCTTGTTATTGATACTTGGGTTTAGAATGACTGTTGAGCCCAAACCGGAGGAGCAGAATAGGTTGAAGGAAAGTTCACAGGACCTGTTAGTTCCAGATTATTCTACCTGGCCTCTCTCTTTAAAAAGTTCATTTTCATAATTTGAGTAATATTTCCTTTTGTGGAAGTACTAACTTTTTTACCACCATAAACAACACTGTAGTAAATATTCTTGAACAGACATCTTCAACCATACTTCTGACTTTCTTTTAGGCTTATTTCCTAGAGTGAATTTAGTGTTAGAGTGTAAAGACCTTTGGTGCACAGTGTTACATTGAGTCACCTATCTTGTGAAAGTGCTCTTGACAGAATAGAATCCTGTCATTAAACACTTTTTTTTTGGATAAGAAATATGATTTTACATTGTTTCAAAGTATCTTTCCTCAGGATACCTAGGGGTGTTAATTACAAATAGAAAAATGTAACTTTATAGCCCCTCCCCTCTAAACAATTGCCCAAAGTTAATATCACCAGAAATGAGACCCATTGATGCCATGTGCCTCTTGATATGGTACATGGGAGAGACACACAATATCATTATTGTGCTATTCTTACCAAGAATATATAACCTGAGTCTAATCATAAAAAAACACAAGGAAAGCCCAAACAAAGAACATTCTGCAAAATTACTGTCCTTCAGTCTTCACATGTGTAAAGATAAAGAAAGAAGGAAGAATTACTCAAGATAAAAAATAGGTGACAAGTAAAGGCAACATGTGATCCTGGATTGGGTCTTGGATATTAGATAAAGGACATTTGTGGGACAAAACTCTGTAAATGAGATAATAAAATTACATGAGTGTTAATTTCCTGAGTTTGATCATTGTACTGTGTTTGTCTCAAATCATGTTCTTGGATTAGGGAACTGCTTATTGAGGTATTTAGAGATAAAGGGACATGATGTTTGCAGCTTTCAAACATTTCAGAAAAATTGTCATTTTTATTGTGTATCTTTAAGGTGAGCAACATACTGTTTTGATATACGTACATGATACACAATGAAATTATTAGTCAAGCAAATTAACATACCTATCACTTTGCAGAGTTTGCTTTTTCTTTTACGGTAAGATTACCTAAAATCTACCTCAACAAATTTCCATCACACAATACTATATTATTTACTAAAGTCCTTATGTTGCACGTTAGATCTCTAGACTTATTTATTCTACATAAGTACAAGTTTGCATCCTTTGACCTACTTCTCCACACTTCCACTGTATCAGAAAAATTCTACCCATCTGTTTGTCTACATATCTATTTATTGAGAGAATGAAGGATAAAGAAAACATGGCAAAATACCAATATTTGGGAAATCTGGATTAAGGGAAAACAGGAATTCTTTGTTCTTTATTGGAACTTTTTTGTAAGTCAAATCATTTTATAATAAAAAGTTAATAATGGGGGAGGGGTGAGGGATAAGAAATTATTTAATGGTTACCATGTACACTATTTGGGTGATGGCTACACTAAAAACCCAGACTTCACCACTATGCAATATATCTATGAAACAAAACAACATTTGTACAACTTAAATCTATAACAATAAAAATAAAGTTTTGTAAATTAGAAAGACATCTTACTGTTGTTTAATTTGCATTTTTAATTTTTGTGACGGTGAACGTTTTCATATTTAATTGGTTTTGAGCCTTATTTATAAAGTTTTCAATGTTTAAAAGCTTACATTTCTTTATAGTAAAATCTATCAGTTTTAAGTTTTATATTTTATTTTCCCCCTTTTATTTTTAATTGACATGTAATAATTGTACATATTTATGGGGTACAGAGCGATATTTTGACACATACACACAATGTAAAATGATCTAGGATAACTAGTTTTTAAAATGATTTATTCCATTGTTTGTGTGTTTAGATTATCCTACACCATTGATTAGAGACATATTTTCTTTGAAAAATTACTTAAATTTATTTATTTATTAATTATACTTTAAGTTCTAGAGTACATGCGCACAATGTGCAGGTTTGTTACATATGTATACATGTGCCATGTTGGTGTGCTGCACCCATTAACTCGTCATTTACATTAGGGATATCTCCTAATGCTATCCCTCCCTCCTGTCCTCCACCCCACGACAGGCCCCAGTGTGTGATGTTCCCCTTCCTGTGTCCAAGTGTTCTCATTGTTCAATTCCCACCTATGAGGGAGAACATACTGTGTTTGGTTTTTTGTCCTTGTGATAGTTTGCTGAGAATGATGGTTTCCAGCTTCATCCATGTCTCTGCAAAGGACATGAACTCATCCTTTTTTATGGCTGCATAGTATTCCATGGTGTATATGTGCCACATTTTCTTGATCCAATCTATCATTGATGGGCATTTGGGTTGGTTCCAAGTCTTTGTTATTGTGAATAGTGCTGCAATAAACGTACGTGTGCATGTGTCTTTATAGCAACATGATTTATAATCATTTGGGTATATATACCCAGTAATGGGTTGGCTGGGTCAAATGATATTTCTAGTTCTAGATCCTTGAGGAATCGCCACACTGTCTTCCACAATGGTTGAACTAGTTTACACTCCCACCAACAGTGTACAAGTGTTCCTATTTCCCCACATCCTCTCTAGCACCTGTTGTTTCCTGACTTTTTAATGATCACCATTCTAACTGGTGTGAGATGGTATCTCAATGTGGTTTTGATTTGCATTTCTCTGATGGCCAGTTGATGAGCTCATCACATGATGATGAGCATTTTTCATGTGTCTGTTGGCTGCATAAATATCTTCTTTTGAGAAGTGTCTGTTCATATCCTTTGCCCACTTTTTGATGGGGTTGTTTGTTTTTTTCTTGTAAATTTGTTATTGAGTTTTTGAGATTCTGGATATAGCCCTTTGTCAGACGAGTACATTGCAAAAATTTTCTCCCATTCTGTAGGTTGCCTGTTCACTCTGATGGTAGTTTCCTTTGCTGTGCAGAAGCTCTTTAGTTTTAATTAGATCCTATTTGTCATTTTGGCTTTTGTTGCCTTTGCTTTTGGTGTTTTAGACATGAAGTCCTTGCCCATGCCTATGTCCTGAATGGTAATTGCCTAGGTTTTCTTCTAGGGATTTTACGGTTTTAGGTCTAAGATTTAAGCTTTTTAATCCATCTTGAATTAATTTTTGTATAAGGTGTAAGGAAAGGATCCAGTTTCAGCTTTCTAAATGACTAGCCAGTTATCCCAGCACCATTTATTAATAAGGGAATCCTTTCCCTATTTCTTGTTTTTGTCAGGTTTGTCAAAGATCAGATGTTGTAGATGTGTGGTATTATTTCTGAGGGCTCTGTTCTGTTTCATTGGTCTATATCTCTGTTTTGGTACCAGTACCATGCTGTTTTGATTACTATAGCTTTGTAGTATAGTTGGAAGTCAGGTAGCATGATGCCTCCAGCTATGTTTTTTGGCTTAGGATTGTCTTGGCAATGTGGGCTCTTTTTGGTTCCATATGAATTTTAAAGTAATTTTTCCCAATTCTGTGAAGAAAGTCATTGGTAGCTTGAGGGGGATGGCATTGAATCTATAAATTACCTTGGGCAGTATGGCATTTTCACGATATTGATTCTTCTACACCATTAATTAGAGATATATTTTCTTTGAAAAATTACTTAAATTTTTATTTTACTTTTGTGCAAAGGGAGTCTTCATCAAGTTTGAAAAAGAAGATAAAAGAGTACACAAGTGAAAAGTTTCATTTCATTCCTTTCTCCATTGTCTACTTTCCTTTCTTCTTTTGGTTTTCTTAGTTCCTGTATTTTTTCGGAGGTTTTTTTTTTTTTTTTTTTTTTTTTAGACAGAGTCTTGCTCTGTTGTCCAGGCTGGAGTGCAGTGGCATGATCACAGCTCACTGCACTCTCTGCCTCCCACGTTCAAGCGATTCCCCTGCCTCAGCCTCCCGAGTAGCTGGGACTACAGGCACGGGCCACCATGCCCAGCTACTATTTGTATTTTTAGTAGAGATGTGGTTTCACCATGTTGGCCAGGCTCATCTTGAACTCCTGGCCTCATGTGATTCGCCCAATCCAGGCCTCCCAACGTGCTGGGATTACAGGCCTCAGCCACCGTGTTCAGCCTCTTTCAGAGTTTCTTTAAGCAAATACAAGTATAATATGTATGTTCTCATTTATTTCTACGTTTTACGTGAGTTATAACATACTATATAAATGCATCTGAAACTTATAAACAGTGTATCTGGGAGTTTTTAAATATTTGTACAAGGAAATATTCCTCATTCTTTTCTTACAGTTTTGTGGTATTCATAAAATGGACATACCATTATTTTCTTTTTTTAAATTTATTCCTTCTAAAAAAAAGTGATACATGTGCAGAATGTGCAGGTTTGTTACATAGGTATATGTGTGCCATGGTGGTTTATTGCACCTATTGACCTGCCCTCTAAGTTCCCTCCCCTCGACTCCCAACCCCCCAACAGGCCTTGGTGTGTGTTGTTTCCCTGTCTGTGTTCATGTGTTCTCATTGTTCAAGTCCCACATATGAGTGAGAACATGTGGTGTTTGCATACTATTATTTTCTTAGGTAGTCTTCTACTGATGGGTATTTGAATTTTTTTCCAATAGTGCTGCAGCAAATAACCTTAATTTAAATATGTACACCTAATCTGTAAGTTATATTTCCAAAAATATAACTTCTGGATCAAATGTATGTTTTTCAAAGCTGGAGATTTCACATGTCCTGATTTTAAAATGTATTACAAAGCTATAGTAATTAAAGCAGTGTGGTACTGGCATAAAGACCGACATAGACCAATGGAATAGAATAGAGAGCCCAGAAACAAATCCACATATATATGATCCACTTTTTTTTTTGACAAGGGTGCCAAGAATACACAATGAGGAAAGAACAGTTTCTTCAATAAATGGCATTAGGAAAACTGAATATCCACATGTGGAGGAATGAAATTAGACTCTTATCTCACCCCATACACAGAAATCAACTCAAAATGGTTTGAAGATTTAAATGTAGGACCTGATACTGTAAAACTCCTAAAAGAAAACATAGGAAACATAGGGGAAAAGCTTTATGATGTTGAATTTCGTAATGATTTCATGGATTTGACACCAAAAGCACAGGCAACAAAAGCAAAAATAAAAATGCAAGATACATCAAACAAAAAGGCTGCACAGCAAAAGAAACAATCAACAGAGTGAAAAGACAACCTAAGGAATGGGGGAAATTATTTGCAAGCCATATATCTGCAAAGGGCTAATCTCTAAGATATATAAGGAACTCATAAAACTCAATAGCAAAACAACTAAGAGCCTGATTTAAAAATGGGCTAAGAACTTAAATAGACATTTCTCTAGAGAAGATATACAAATGACCAACAGGTATATGAAAAGGTGCTCAACATCATGAATCATCCAGAAAGTGTATTTCTTTGTAATTGGATAGAGATGATCACATTGCCCTTCACAGTATTCATACCAACTTGTACTCTCACCAAAAAATTTGTCTTTCCTGCAAAATATATTGTTAAATTTTGAGATTTTGCTAATCTGATAGATGAAAAATGGGAGCATAGTATAATTTAAATTTATATTTCTCTTATGTTGAATAATGTTGAAATAATTTTATTTATTTATTTTTTCTCAAACAGATTCTGACAGATCTTTTCATATATTTAAAGCCCATTTGTAGTTTTTGTAATCTGTTCCTATTATTTATTCATTTTTGGGTTGTGGTTCTTATTATGTTCTAAGAATTATTTACATATAAAAATTAGTCCTTTCCAACATGAATTGTAGATTTTTGTCCTGGTCATTGGTCTTTTGACTTTGTTTATGATTTTTTTTTAACATACAGGAGTCTTTTCTTTTTATGTAAATTATCATTATTTTCCTTTA